TAGCTAAGTAATAAAGCTCAAGTTTTGAATAATAATAATTATTCGAAAAGAAAAAATAATAATAATTATTATTATTTTCTTTGTCCTTCTTTAGCTAACCTAATAGCTTGCAATATGGCTACCTTATCCAATTCTTTTTGATTTGGTTTTTCATTGTCTAAACAAATTTCAGAAACTCTATTACCGAATAATTCCAATACTTTTAACCTATAATCGACGATAAAAGAAATTGAATTTCCAGTTAGAATCAAATTTTCCAAACAAGGAAGATTTGATATGTGTTTAATTTCTGAAACATCCGATATTTTATTCGAACTAACATTTAATGTTTCCAACGAGTATAATTTTGCAAATTCCCTGAGAGTTGTCAACTGATTCTGCGACATGTCTAAAAAAACTATCTTACATAATTTTATTTCTAAACTTTGTGTGCTTTTAAAATGATTCGCTGATAAATTAAGATATTTTAATTTAATTAAAGAATTTAAAAATTGCAAATCTTTTATTTTATTACCCTCAAAATTTAATGACTCTACATTAGGTAATAATTGTATGGATTTATCGATGGATGTTAAATTATTATCGCTGAAATCAGCGTTGATAATATTTTTAAATACATTTGGCCCGTTAACATCTATTTCATCTCTGTGCACTTGATCACAGAGTAAAATTTCAGATAAATTAACAATATTGGAATTATGAATTTCTATAGTTTTTAATGTTGATCTTAATGTTCCAAAATCGACAATCATATCACAATTAACATTTCTTAAATATAATTTTTCAAGCGATTTGAACGAACTGAACTCATATGAAAGTTTATTCGGAATTATGTTGCTGTTTTTGACTGCATTAACACTGCCATGAATTTTGAGTTCTTTTAATCGTGTACAATAATCCAACACATGACTAAAATCTTGTTTTAAATCGATTTGTCCAAAATTTACACAAGGTTGCTTTAGCCTCTCGCTAATAGCATGTAACTGAAACAATTATGTAATATTTTGTAACAAAAATTATTCCTTTATAAATAATTCATTTTAATTTATCATACCTCTAATGGAGTAAATATGTGAGACTTTAAAACCGATTCTTCATCTTCCATGTAAAATTTTTCAGCTAAAGAATATAGAAGAAATTGTATGTCATAATACTGAAAATCTAAAAAATGAGCTAATTCTCTGGGCATTGTCTTTTGCAAAAATCTAACAACTGTTATTAAGTAATTTTCCAATCCATTCCTTCTTTTTTCAATAAATGTTGGCTCTTTGTTTCCGATAACTTTTTTAGGAGGTAACAAATCTTTAGCAACACTATGACTCGCAACTAAAACATCATGCAATTGGGCGAAATCACGAAAACGATGAAAAACAGACCATTTCACATCGTCAACCTCGATTTGTATTTCATACACAGTAAATTTATTTTTTTCTTCAACTCTAGGTATTGTTATTTTTAATTTATCACAATTTTTATAAAAACACGCCATTGAAATAATTATCGTTTACATAAATTCGTCACAAACGAAAAATTAAACAAACGATATTCATTATAACATACAAACGACTAGAAAACAAACAAAAAAAAAAAATTTCTTTTTTCAAAAAAAAAAAAACAATGGTAATGTTCTTATCAATTTTCAACGTTCGTTTTTATCAGCTGATGATGAAGAGCCAACCTAATTATTCAATAAAAATAAATAAAATTTTTTTTTTTAAATTCATTTAAAACATGTCAAGTAATAACATTTAAACTTTTATTTTTTATTCAAGGTGATTAAGTTTTATATCAAAAAAAAATAAAAAAAATTATCAAATGATTCACTATGATTCACTATAACAGATATTAAATTTACTTTCAAAAAAAAAAAAAAAAATTATTAAAAAAATTACATTTCTAAGGTTGGTAGTAACATTTTATCAAAATGTTTTTCTTCGGTTCGAAAAAAAAACTTATTTTTTTTAAATAAATAATACAATACTTTATTTTATTTAACGTTTATTTTTAATAAATAATTATTTAAAAATTTAATTATTAATATTTCAATTAATAAAATTTGAATTGGATTTAAAAATAAAAAAAAACGTACAGACATTATTTTGACTAGTTAAGTCAAAAAAATTTTTTTTTCTGCTTCGTTCCAAACAACAACAGGTATTATGAAATACATATATATAAATATTTAAAAATGCGTCCAATCCGTCCCTGATTTTACTGGTCAACCCAACCGGTCTTAACCGCATAATTATTATTATTATAGAAAAAACGCGCATTGAAATCATAGGAAACATCATCTTCTTATAATATTGATCTCAGCGCTCGGTATTGCAGGTGTAAAAAACTTCAACTTCGTCAATTGGCAGTACGAATACCGCGCTGGGAGGCTCAGGTACTCACGATACGTTATAGGTACGCCAACGTCGTGTTATTTTTGTTGTTGTTGTTGTTGTTGATGATTGGCTTTTGTGGTACATTTAAAACAGCTTCTATTCTTCTTTTGAACCTTGAAGCCGTTAGGCCGTGGCTTCTAATGGTATGATGCCACCAACCTTTTGGATAATGATTATTCTTTCATGACGAAATTTTTCTTCGTTTAAACAAAAAAAAATCAGTTTATTTTATTAAAAATTATTATTTTTGTTTTTGTTTTAAATATGTTTTTTAAAGTGTTACGTGAATATTATTATTATTATTTCAAGGTCGCGAGAGTGTTTGTTTTTTTTTTATTAATTTTTTTTTGTTAAATGTGGATGAACCGTACAGGAGGATGACTTTCACGTACAGACCCTGAATAAATAAAAAAAAAAATTTCAATTCATTTCCGTAAGTTTTATTTATTATTATTATTATTAACTAGTATAATTATTTTATAAATTGTTTAAAACAAACGTGAAAAACAACATTCGATTGTTGTTGTTGTACTTTTTAGTTTGATTATTAACATGTAAAATTATATAACAACAGCAATACTTTTTCCAATGTAATTTTTCACTTTACAAAAAAAAAAATGGCGGACGATAGAATAATGTTTGAGATGTTGTAAAAGAAGTTTGTGGTACTGTTGGTAAAGAACAATCTTCCTCCATTCCTTTTCGGTTTAATTAAGGTATTATACAATTCGTTTGGACATTTTTGAAAGTTTTGACAAAAACAGGCAAAAAAAAAAAAACAATCCGAAGATGTTGTTGTTGTTGTTGTCACATAAATTTAGTTTTTTAGAACCTTTTCAAAGATTTTCAAAAACATCTGGGTTTCATCTGGTTTTTTTTATGGTCATTTATTTAAAAAACATAAGACGACGACATTTTAAAAGTTTTCCATTTCCGGAAACAACAACAAAAACGACAAACAATGTCATCAACCGGAAGGAAATTTTGTCGAATACAATTTTCTCGAATCGATTCATCAATCGATATTTTTAATTAATTTTTATCCCATCATTATTATTATCATCATCGTGTGAACATGATGATAATAATATCCATCATTATTATTATTAATTTTTTAATTTTAACGTTCGATGATTGTTGTTGTTGTTGTTGTTGTTCTTCTGATTCGAGCAGACGAAATCATATCGAAGAAGAAACTTTGGTTGTTGTCGTTCTTCTATATCGGATATAATGTAATAATAATAATAATAATAATAATAATAATAATAATAATAATAGGAAAATGTAATCATTTTTTTTGGGCCTTAATTTTTTTTTTTTCAATTAGGGATATTATTAAGTAGGACAATTTATTATCAAGGCCATTAATGTTTGCATACATTAGAGAAAGAGAGAGAGAGAGAGAGAAAACAATTCGAAATTGTTTTCATTATTTTTTACAAAGAGTCGTTTTTTTTTAAATTTTCAATTGCAATTAATTTTTAAAACCTTAAATTTCTTGTTTTTTTTTTTTTTTTCTTTTGCATTTTTCTTCTGCTAAGTTAATTAATTTTTACATGAAGCCAACAAAAAAAAAAAAAAAAAAAAAAAAATTTTCTTCAAGTTGTTAAAACCGTTCGGTCACACGGTGTGGATTGTTTTGTTCACGCGTTTAGAAAACGACTTTAGGACAAACGACGTTTGTAAGTGCGCGCTCGCGTGTGTCTGTGTTTGTTGGTTTTGTCGTTAATTAATTAATTAATTAATTAGTTAATTTGGTGTCGTCAAACGTTTGTCGCACTTTGAGTAGATGTGAATGAAAAAATTTTTTCACGTTCCCGAGAGTGAGTTGATACGTTAAACGTTTCGACCGTTGATGAATTATCATTATCATTATCATTATTATTATGTTTTCTTCTTAAGAGTGAATATATAAATTTGTAATGGGTGGTTTCTTAATGATTGTTTGCCCTACCGGTCGGTTGACTTTCACCACTTTATTCCATTTGTGAGTGCGTGAGTGCGTGCGTATGCGTGACCGTTGCCATCTTCGAGAATGAGATTTTAGGAAAATGCATGGCATTTCCGAATCGGAAATAGTTAATTAACATAAAAAACATATCGATGAAATTATTAATTTAAGGTGAAGGGTTTTGGTTGTTGTTGTTGTTGGAATTTCGAATCACGCGGCCGTTTGTTTTTATGTCGGATTTGCGATCGAATTACACGCGATCGGATATGGATTATTTTTCAACGAAAAAAAAAAAAAAAGGAAACGAATCGGTGTAAAGGATTTAACTTATCGAATAATAATCGATTTTCTTTACCGTGGAAATGAAAAAAAAAATAAAAATAATAATAATAACTAATATATTGAAAATCGATTTTTTATTAAATAACACGTACGTGGGAAAATTTTTTTCGATTGTCGAAAAACGTGGAAAGTGAATTAGGTATTAGTAAATGAATCAATCGAGTTTTATTATTTATTTTTAGGTTCCCTTAGGTATTACCCTAATTAAAATCATGTTATTATTATTATTATCATTTGGGTCGTTGAGTGATGGGATCCTTTTTTTTTTTTTTGGTCAAAATGTCGTCGATGTGAATCGGAAAATGTTTTGTAAGCGGAAGTGTGAGTGTGAGATTGTTTTTCGACTATTTTAATAAGAGGATATTTTTGTTGCTGATGCTGATGCTGTTGCTCCTGTTGGTAATTAAAATCGAAACACCTGAAAGTGTTTAAGCGGTATTATTATTATTATTATTATGATTTAATTGGAAAAATGAAACTGTAAAATAATTTTGTCGTCCCTGTTGGAGTTAAAAAATTGCGAATTCATTTTCGCATAGTAACGACGACGTTTGATTTATTTTAACGTTCCCACCCCCTTCACCACCACCCCCTCATCCTTTTTTATTTAGGTTAACTCGAATTTGATTCCACGGGATTAAATTATGCAAAAAAGTAACCGAAAATTAATTAATATTACGTCACATAATTAATATTTTTACTTTTTATTTTTTTATTTGACGCCGTTATGAAATATAATCGTGGCGTTATTATTATTATTGCTATAATGGATTTTCGAGAGTTTTATTATTATTATTATTATTATTATTATTATTATTATTAATTTCCGGTGTTAATAAATGTCAAATTTTAAAATTTTAAATAAAAAAAATGAACGAAAAATAAGCCCTAAAAAAAAAAAAAGAAGGAAAATTAACGGCCATATTTGTTTTTTTTTTCGTTAATCGAAACTGTTATGTGTGACGTGTTTGTTTGTTTGTTTGTTTGTTATTTATTTTCAAACGGTTTCGAAATTTTAAAAATTATTATTATTATTATTATTCAAAAGAAAAAAAAAAACAAAATCGACTTTCAAATTTTTTTAAAAAAAAAAGTGATTTTCACGCGTCCGTTATTATTAAATTTTTGATTTTTTTACATTAAGAATTTTTTTTTTTTTTTTGTGACTTGTCACGTTCGGCCGCCATTTTTGTTTTTGTTTTTATTTCGATTTAACTCGCGATTATTTAATTTCACCACTCCATTTATTTACTCTATGATTTATTAATAAAATTTTCTTTTCCCTTTCATATAATTTTTGTTTTCGAATAGGATGCGAACGTAAATGAGTTTTTCCTTTTTCGCGCCTTTTTTTTAAAATTTAAATTAAAATTATTTTACTTTATGATCAATTAACTTGAATAATAATAAAAAATCGTTTGTTTAATTGTATATTTAAAAAAAAAAAAAATGATATTTAATTTGCGTTTAACGTTTGTTTTTTTTTTTTTTGGTTTTTGCACCTAGGTATTTATTATTACGTACAGGTAGCGTGAAATAATATTAAAACGGTTTTTTTTAATTAAACGTTTAGAGAAATAAAAACGATTTAATTAGAGTAATAATAATAATAATTTAATTTGTCGGTTTGGGGGGAAAAGCAATAACAATAATAATAAAAAATGATGATTTTTTTAGTGAAGTTTTTTTCCCAGTAAAAGTTTCGAATGTTTTCTCGAAAACCGCAATTCTCGAATTTCCAGTAATAATAATAATAAAATTATTTAATTGATAATTAATTGCACGAGAAATTTGTTGTTGTAACTT